ATAGACAGATGTGAGTAATTGTTTGTTGTATTTTCCCCTTATGGAAAAATGAGGCTTTTAGATCTGGCATACACTAATCTCTTGGTCAGACTTGGGTGAATGTGTATACTTCAACGGGAGAAACAAGCGAAAGATACTCAGTCAAGTTTAAATAAAGTTCAGGAGAGAGGCTTTGTCTATGAATCTGACTATGCTGTTTTAAAATGGTTACCACCAACCAGAATTCATGAATTTTGAAACCTTAGCTTCAAATTAAGCTACAGCAAAAACATAAGATAGAAATGTTTATAGCAGATTATTATATACAAGAAAATTAGAAGGAAAAGGAAAGTTGGAAGCACACTAGCTAATCTAGAAGCCAATAGATAAATGTAAAACTGTGAGATATAATAGCATAAGTGTGGATGGCGAATGATATGCTAAATTCAGTGTAGAAGTCTTCCATGGATGAGACTAATTAAGGTCTATGGAGAATAATCAGATTTATAAGCTTATATTGTGATGTTGTTTTAATAATAGTTTATTCTGTTTACTGGCTGTAATGTATTCTTGATAAATTATATAAAAAAAGGAAGGCATAAACCCCCATAATTTTGTTGTGTTACTAATTTCTATCGGATTTGAGACAGTGATTTACATCTCATTAAGGATATGAAAACTAATAAATTCTTCATTTCTTCTGCTTGCCTGGTGTTGTAGGTGATGATAAGATTACTAACCAGTAACATTTGCCACTAAGTGGGAAAGGAAGAGAGCCAAGATTTGAAAAGAAAAACCTGAGTGACAATTAAAAGTACATTTATCTTTCTTTACATTTAAAAGTAAACAAATAATTCCTGCATTGTCTTCTCTCCCCCCACCGAGAAAACAATACAACATGAACCAAGTCATCAAAAGTGTAGGCAAATTATAAACTATACTGAGGACAGCTTTCATTCATAGAGTTCTTTTGTTTACCTGCCACATAATAAATGCTTTTCATATGTCATGACATACAGCACTAGCTTGGAGGCATTTATATTATTATGATCATCTCAGAGGTGAGAATTATATGGAATAGGGTCACTTGCTCAATAACCACAGCTAATTTGAAGACAAAGAAATCAAACTTCAGTCTTTAAATCCCAAGACTAGTCTCTCCCCCATGTAACACTCAAAGGAACCAGCATTTTGCTGTAAAATTTCCCCTACAGAACTATAGTAGAAGTGTGTGATATGTTGAGTAATAAAAACATAGTTTTCTACACATTTCCTGTTGAAGAGAAACTACTCCAAGAGAAGTGTAGACCCTGAAGGCAGTTCCCAACTAGTAAAAATGTCACCTCACAAATCTATGTTTTTGTTCCCATTATTTCAAAGGTTCACATGGGTGGAAAGTATTTGAAAAATGTAATGTATAGTACCTATAGTGAAAGAAAAAATTAAAGAAAACAAGAAAATTTGATGGGGTATAATTTATAGTGTATAAATATCTAAATAGTCTCAATTCATATATATTTGTTATATATCTTATGATAGCTGTTATTCAACCATAGTAAATTGATAAATATTTGAGTTTTTCATAGGCAGAATTTTTTGTTTCGTTTTTCAGGGTGGCCAATTTCAGAACAAAAGATGAATTTTTTTTTTTAAACAGAGGGTAAACACGTGGAAAGGAGTGGACCAATAATGAGTCCTGTCTGACTATTCAAATATGCTCTTTGTTTCATAGCCCAGGAAACTAGGAAACTTGTCTACAAAGAGTCAACATTCAGTGGTGCTAACTCCCAATGTGAGAAGGGTGAAGTTATTCAAATGCATGCTTAGCCTTGACCAGAAAACAGATTAGGGAAACAAGATGCAAGGCTGATGAGTAATAAAATGTGCTTTAGCTACAAGTAATGATCTCAAAGACCACTCAAACATATGACATAGTTTGGGGTTGGTTTCCCCTGAGACACTGATGACAATGGGAAAGATGGGAAGTAGTATAGATTAAGTTCATAATATTATGAAAAAGATGGGCAAGAGTGTGCATGAGGCTATAACAGGGTAATTCTTTTTTGTTTGTCTGTAATTTGCAGAATGTTTCTTCTGTATTGAGTGGTAACAGATGTGACCGAGGAGACAATTGGCTTCTGAAAAAAAGCAGGTTTCTCTGTAATGAGCACCATAGTGGCCTCTCAATAAATATCTCTCCAACAAATTGAAGATCATATGGGAGATGAATAATAGCATATGCAAAGGAAAGTGAAGAATTTGATTGATCCAGATTGGATAGGAAGAGATAGTTAAGTCTCTGAGCAGTTTTGTAAGACAAGTTCCTACACGTGTATAACTTGATCCACAAGTTATCAAGAGGAGTTAGGGGAAGGAACAAGGAGTTGTATGTGAGAAGACAGAATGGCAAATCAAATTTTGAGGCATTCAGGGAACTGGATTTTCACTTTAATTGTCATTCTATTGAAAGGTCATAGAAATCAGTAAGAAATACCATGTAAATCATATTTTCTTACAGACTGCCATAAAACAAGGGTGATAGTAATTCATACTTATGTGATACTCACTGTATATTTACATGGATTGGTTTATTTAACCATGTTAACTCTGTGTAAGGATTGCTGTAAGCTTAGTTTACAAATAAGAAAAGTGAGATATAGTGAAATTGAGAATGTACCCAAAACAGTAACATTCACTAAATGGTAGAAATGGGGTCTGAACCCATGGTGATCTCAGAATCCACTTTCTTGACCACTTTCAAATATTCTCTCTTAATGCATTATCTGATAGCTGATATTGAAATGATATTGAAGTATCCAAATTAAAAGTTATTATATTGTGGATAATGATTCTCTTATTGACTAACTACCAAGAGGTGTTCTTTTCATTGGAGAAATAAGATACCAAAGCAGGTGGCCATAAGTTTATACATAACCCAGTCTGCTGTCATCATCTGTAGATTACAGAAGTGACACCTATCTTGAGAACAAATGTGCCATGAAAGATTGAAAATCAGTCATTTGATGAATAAAATGACAACAATGGGTATTCTAGATAGATTAGATTAAATATAGTCTTATTTTTAAAATGATAATTAAATATCAGAAACATGTTATTATGATGTCTGTAACATATGTTTTTCTATCAGAAACCTGTTACTGAATCCTAGTAAGTGTTTAGGCATTACTTAAATAAATTTTCATATTATTTTTGCCAGTATATATAGATATTTACTAAAAATGAATATATGGTGAATCATAGTATTTAATTATCTTACTCACTGTTCCAAGTGCTTCACAAGAATTGACTGACTTAAATTTCTTAAAATCATTATGATGGAAAATGTTATTACCCATACTTCACAGAAGTCCATAGGAAATACATGAGAGGCTCAACAGTCTGAGAAATGTTTTGTTCAGGAATAGAAAATAGGTTTCTTCTTGAGTATCTAAGGAATAGTAAGATAATACTGGCTGATTAAAAGATTGATGTTTTTTCCTCAATTCCTTCCTTTATTGATTTATAAAATGATTTCCTACATGAATGCCTGAAAATATTAATTAGTAACAAAGTACATGTGGACTGTTCTTCCTAACCTCCAGGAGCATCCATGTTCATTGCTTAGTCTTTGCTACATACGAAAAGGGTCACACCAATGAGTGGGGATGTCATGTGGCCTTCTGTCTTTTGTCAGAGCCCTTTCTTCCTGCCTGTGCCATCTCCTGTAGGCTCACTCGTCCTTGGTATCTGTGTTCTCCTTAGAGACTTCACGTCATGTTCAAATTTTAGAATAAAGTCTAGAAATGGGACTAGAGTAAACACATCTCTGTTAAATCCTGTGAAAAAGTTCTTTGCAAGAATGCCACTCTCCTAACTAACTCGTTATTACTATATGCAAGTTGATAAGTTCCATTTAATTTTTTTATAAATATTAAGGTTAACTTTTCAAATAGATTAAGAATCCATTATAGGCCAGAAATACATAACATTGACCCATTTGATTGTTAATCGTTTATAATTTGGAGACTATGCTGTAGAAAGGGACAGCAAGAAGAGAAATGACATCTAATACTCTTTGAGGAAAGGGGGGCCTGCAGGGAGAAGAAAGGCACTAAGGAAAGGGATTGCTCTCAACTGAATGTTTAGAGCAAAGAAAGAATAATCCATGAAGATGGAGGGAGGTCTAAGAGCTGTGAGGGGAAAAGGAAGTCTGTGTAGTTACTGCAGTGAGATGGAATGAGAAAACATTGCGATCTCATTCCATTCCACTCTCAACACCTGCGATTATATAAAAGTTAGTAAGAGGGAAAGTAAAAGTGAGCAGAAGTTATCAAGAGAAAAGATGAAAGCTTCCGAGAGAAATGGAATTTAGAAGAGACTGAATTCCTTACATCCTGCTGTTCTGTCACCATTACACTCATCACAGTGAATCACCGGGCTTTGATGGTGTGAGAAGAGCTGGGCTTCTCTGCTGTTCACTCTGCATTGCCCAGCAGAGGTTTCCAAGAGCAGCTCACAGGGGCATCTGCTCCTAAGCAGTGGCGCTAAAAAGCGCACCTGCTTCTTATTGGAGCTGAGCTCGCCATGAAGTCAAGCACTTAGGCTTCTGGCTTGGATGTTCTGTCAATTTTGTGGAGATGTTCATGGATCATATTGTACAATCGATGTCATATTTCAGTGTGTGTACATTTTCCACATTAAGTCACATCATATGAAGCCAGTATTGAATAATCAGACTATCAATTTTTATTTATTTAGCTTATGCATATGTTACTTAGCTTGGCTAGTCATCATTTACTTTCTAATGTATACAATGAAGTTCATTTTATCCTTATATGTGCGTCTAGGTTGATTTTCATGTGAAAGATATTTTACTATCAATAATAAGCTTGTATGAATTACAATCTTTGCATCCCTTACTACACACAATGTATTTTTACCTACCATTCGTCATTAGAGGAAAACAAGCCCACTGAGCTATGTTCTATACTTTATTAACACTTTTTTCCTAATATTTATAGGCAGCGCTGGTACACCTGTCACTTTTAATGAAAATGGAGATGCTCCTGGACGCTATGATATCTTCCAGTATCAGATAAACAACAAAAGTACAGAATATAAAATCATCGGACACTGGACCAATCAACTTCACTTAAAAGCAAGTATTAGTATGCTTATGCATTATTGTTTCCAGCTCTTAAAGGGGAATGTTCCTTTCCCACAATATTTGCAAGAATAGGGGACGTCTAGTCTTGTTTGAACCTTATGTACTTAGAGCCCAATCTGATGTGGGGTCCCAGTGTCTGAGGCAGCTGACATTGAATTGCCCCAGATTTGTCATTTAGCTGGCTTCACAATGGGGGAACTGACAGGCCCAAGGAATCTTATATCAGCGTGAGCCCAGAGAATTTCCTATTAAGCAAGTACGGCCTCGAGGTTATGAGGTGAGATACTCCATGATGGCACCTGACAATAGTGTAGCGGGCTTTGGCCTACGAAGCCACCCTGAGCTTGAAGGTTAAGAGATGTCTGGGAAAATCCACAGTGCAAGGGGGCAGGGTTGGAGGTGGGAAAGAGCATCTTTCATTCCCGCCCAAAAGACTTCTTTCACATTTCAGCGGTTCCAGTTTTATTTTACATGCACACTGACTTCAGTATAGAGTGTGTCCTGTTGACTCAACCATGAATTGCAGTTCTCTTATGCTGCGCCATTCTTCCGAGGCTGAAAAATGCTTACTTCTGACACTTAGTATCTGAGGAATCCCTAAATTAGGCAGTGCTTTCACTGCAGGCCTTGGGATGCCTGTAAAAGTACTTTTGCAAACCTAGAATATTTTCTCCACGCTGTACATTTGCAGTGTGCAATTAATTCACGCTTGTAATGAAAATACCCTTCTCAAAGCCACATTATTACAAGGGCATGCTCGTGTGCTTTCTTGCCTTTGAGGCTGTTCAAAGACATCGGATGATATATTGACACAGTTTTCTCCTCCTGTATGTTCAAATGTCCCTTGAAGTGACATAGTTTTCTAGTAACTGCCACCCAAGTTCACAGGCAAGAAGTGAGGATAAAAAATTGCGGAACTGCAGTTTGTTTCTTTCAAGTGGCTTCCTGATGGCTGTCACAGTTCTCATTCAGCAGCTTTGATTTTAGCCACTGCGTAAGGCAGCCCTGAATCTCAAGAGTTGGGGCTTTAGCTTCTTTGTGAAACTCTTATATTGTTCTGAAACCCAATGTAATTTATTTCAACTTAACTTTGAAAAATTGTCACAGATAACTTATAAACTGAAAATCAGTATCTTTTTGACTGTCATCCTTTGGAAGTGTAGTTCTGTGAAGTAAACCTAATATAACAAAGAAAAATTTGAGAATGGTTTATATAGGGAAGATAACTTTTATCTGACTTTTGTCAGCATCAAAATGCTTATGTTTTTTTTTTTTTTGGTTAAGAATTTACTTAGTAAAAAGAATCGCTTGGAACTGCCATATACTGTGTATAATACCAAAATCCCTATAACGTACTGAGAGCCCCGAATAATTATACACACAAATGAACACACATCTATCTTTTCTCTGTATGCATAATGTGTTTATTCTAAAACTCAACGTTGAATCATAAGCTGTGCTTTTATGTACATTTAATGATGCATGAATGCTTTATGCTTAGAACTGTAATCTCCCATAAATATATCAAATCAATCTTTACAATTTCTCATGCAGGCTGTGAATGTTTATAGTATACAGTAGGGCCAGACTCATTGAAAGAATAAAGTTGCCATTCTAAGGAACAATGGTGAATGAGGCCCTGCAGGGCAGATATAAAGCAAGGACTGAATTCTGCAGACAGTCAGGATATATCACATAACACTCCTGAGAAAGTGGAATGGACTCTTGTTTGAAGGAGGAGTGGGGATGCTTGGGAAGCTACTGATTTGTCAGCATTCTGCTTGGATATCTGCGTAATGTTAACCATTTTACCCTAGTTTCATAAACTCCAAGGTGAAAATAGTAACAACTGCCTCATATGGTTGCAATAAAAATTTAATGAAATAAAGTAAGAAATCATTTAGCCCATTTCCTGATGCATATTATGCCCATAAACATGGCCTCGTGTACTACTCTCTATCTCTGAATTCTAAGCTGTGGGATTCTTATAGAGTTCTGTAGGGAGAGAGTTGAAGTCCTTTTAGAAGAGGCACTTGAGTTTTCTTTAGAAAGTTCAGAGTGGGATGAAGGGAAACAAGAGAGGGAGAAAGGACAACATGGAGAAATCTTACAGAGAATCCCTGCATTTAAAATGTTAACATAATCAGTACTTCTCACTTTTCTGATAGTTGGAACATTTTCTCTGCACTTACAGTGTAACCTTCACATAAGGTAAAGGTATAGTTCTGTTTTTTTGTTTTTGTTTTTGTTTTTGTTTTCCTCTAGTAGTATTTAGATAGATATTGACATCTGGGTGATTGTGTGGGGATGTGTGGTTTTCAAAATCTTATTTTAAAACCATAAAATGCTTTCTTTCCAAACACAATTTAAAATTTCATTTTTTAATGACTGTATTCAGGTACACATATATACATACATATATAAACATAAAATACAGTTACAGAGTGGAATAGTTACTATAGGCTAATGAGCAAAATTATCACTTTCCTGATATGCTAAAATTTTGTGACAGAAGCATTTACATCAACACTTTTAGAAAATCTGAAGTCAACTGTGGTGGTGCATGCTGGTATAATTTGCTAAAGGAGGCAGAGGTAGAAGGATCTTGAGTTCAAGGTCAGCCTGGGCTACACCTTTTGGCATGTGCTGACTACTCTAGTAGACCATTCAGAGAATACTTTAGTGCCAGGGTTCTTGGAGGTCTGGAGCAGAACAGATGCTTGTCCAGGCTGGTCAAGTACTGACATCATTATAGTTCTTGGGCTGGAATAAGTCAAGCCTGAGGCAGAGTGAGCCACAGTAAATTTTGCTGGTTTGATTGAGAGAGAGAGAGAAAAAAGAAAAGAAAAGAAAAATATAAAAGAAAAATGCAAATCTGCAGAGCATCATCATTATTTTTTGCTTGTTTGTTTGTGGTTATTGTTCTGTTTTCAAAGGTCACTGGGAGGAATAAGATCTGCTACTGAATTGGCTTGGTAAGCTCACTTGTGCTGCTCAGAAGTTGTAGGGATCTAGACATGGATATGTGGTCCCTGCTTTAAGGCACTCTATGATAGGACTGAAGGCAGACTCAGACCAGAACTGGTAAGGAATAAGGGGTCCTGATGAATGGACCCAAATATGGTTTGGCCAGGTAAACTGATGAGAAGGGTCTACCTGCTTCAGCCACTCTTTGGAATTACTGCCAGAGAGCACAGTGAGGAGGATTTATTTTCCATACCACCATTTCTCCTTATTCTATTAAACCAGATTTACAACTGGTTTCACACTCTCAATGGTGAGCATTTATCAGCCATTTATTGGACCGTATTCTTGTTTTCAAAGAACCCATCTTGTTTTGTTTTCCTTTGGCTAAATTCAATCACAGGATGATTTTCCACATACACAGTAGATGGTCAGGCACATCTGAGTGCAGCAAATCTTTCCAAAAAATCTCTTAGTCAAGTGAATGGATGTTTGAAGTAAGCAAACTGTCCTTGACCCTGGAAAATGTCTCTCTCAGATACACCAGATCTTCAGAAGTATCATCCTTATTGCTGGAAATACTACTGTCTCTATTTCCTTTTACTGGAATGAATGTGCGATTTTAATTCAGCAGTTAGTGTAATTTGCTTATTTTTGATGTAGGATTTCTACCCAGCTACATTGGTCCGCATGTGGAATGTATATCTGTCTACCTGGAAGGGAAGTTTCGCAAATAGGTCTCTATTTTGCTAGGAATGCATGTCTCAAGAGACAAAGTGATCCTTATAGAGATGACAAGACAGATTGTAATCTTGAGGTTTGGGCTAAACAGAAGAGTTGAACTTCGAGCAAACAGCCATACACTGCATTGAGTCCACAGGGAAATGGGAGCCGTAAGGTTACTTGGTGGGCTAAAGACAACCCAGGAGTCACTAGTTTACACCTCCAACCAGAGATGATTTGTTTGTTTGCTTTTGTTTTTTCAATTGATCTAGGGACATATATATATATATATATATATATATATATATATATATATATATATTTTTTTGCCTGCTTTGTTTTTCTTGTCACTTTACTCAACAAAATGAAAGTAGATATGAAATATATGCATAAAATGACTAAAAATAGTAGCAGATGGCTGTATCTCAATAAGACTCAATCAGGATTAGTAGTACAGAATCCATTGGGAGGGTATTGCAGAGGAAAAAGGTTTCTTTGAGCCTGACTTTATTGCTTAGTGGAACCCTCTCTAGAGTAGCAACCTCTGATGAAGCTATGAATGTTGAGCCTTGGACTTGTCAACTGTGAGTCGTGCAAAGGTTTCTATGTATCATTGTAAAGATAAAGTCCCTCACAGAAGCAGGAAGGGACAAGTCCCCCAGAGCACAGGGGAAGTGGGGCGGATCAGCGAATGGAGAGAGAAGTAGGACAAAGCGAGGGGGAGGAGAGGAAAACACGTGCAACTAGGAAGATTGAGCCTGGTTAGGAATAGAAGACAGGAGAAAGAGAGAGACAGAGAGACAGAGAGACAGAGAGACAGAGAGACAGAGAGAGAGAGAGAACATAAAGCAGGGAGCCAATATTGATTTGAAGATAAAATTGAACACAAAGAAAGGCCCAGAGAACTACAAGACTGCCGCCAACTAACAATTTGAGCATCCGTGGAAAGGCTATCATAAATGCCCTTCCCGGAGAGTGAGATAAACAACTAACTTCCCCATGGAGCCCTCATCTAATGCCTGTTGGAAACAGGAGCAAACACCCATACATAAACACTGAGTCGAACTAGAACCCAGATGAAGATGGAGAGGAAAAGACCAGGCTGCAGAAACACATAGAGGCAGCTGACCTAAACAAGGAGGAGCTAACGGGCCCCCAGACTGATAGCTGGGAATCCAGCATGGGACTGACTCAGGCACCCCTGAATATGGGTCTCAGCCAGAAGGACTGGGCAGTCTAAGAGACCTCAGACAGTGGAGCCAGGATGTATCCCTGGTGCACAAAAGGACTTTGCGAACACATCC